CCTTTTCTGCAGAACTACTACTTAGTCAGTAGCCCCCCAGCCTGTAACAATGCTTGGGATTCTTCTGTCCCAAGTGCAGGACACTTGTCCTTGTTGAACCTCATCAGATCTCTTTCGGCCCAATCCTCTAATCTGTCTAGGTCACTCTGGAACCTATTCCTGCCCTCCAGTGTATCTGTCTCTCCCCCTAGCTTAGTGTCATCTGCAAACTTGCTGAGGGTGCAATCCACCTCCTCATCCAGGTCATTAATAAAGATGTTGCACAAAACCAGCCCTAGAACCGATCCTTGGGGCACTTAGCAGAATGACTACAGCCAAGAAGAGTGAAGTCTCTATCTGTCCCTAGGATTGATTCTCCTGGTCATAGTTGAGACACATTGATAGAAACTTGCACCTCTGTTTTATCTGTTCTGTGATAAACAGACAACTTAAGTTTGGGGAACCTGTCAATATTTTTATGTTCTCAGTTGCATTGCAAATGAAAAGGAGAAATTTACAATCTCAAAATGCAGTTATAGTTGTCTAAGAGGATACAAAGCATAGTTCTAAATCCACTAAAAGCCAAATACATGCAAATTGAGGGAGGGGAAAAGGAGGAAATCTTTAAAGTAAGAGTTTGACTTGCATCTATCAGTTTCAGATTTGATAGAAAATTATAAGCACAGTCTCACTAGGCCTGTTTCAGCCTGAAACGGTCCTGATGTCATATGAGCAGTTCCTGCTTCTCAGCAATTCTAGAATGTTTTAGGTTGTGCCTGTTAGCAATGTTAGATAACGTGTAATTGAATAGTCATGTAACTGCATAAAATTTTAGTGGTTACACAATTATTCGATAGTCCCCAGGGGCAAGGCCAGCAGCCAGTGCACTCCCTGCCCCACTTCTGGGGAGCCTTCTGCCACTCTGTGCTATTGCCTCTGTATCAAGAGACAGCAACACGCCGGGGGAGGGGCGGGCGGAAAAGAGGAAAAAGACGCTCCATTGCTTGCAGGGATCTGGCTTAAAAGCCTGTGCTTCATGAAAGGATGTGGATGCAATGGAGAAGGTCCAGCTGAGGGCAACCAAAATGATAAGGGGGCTGGGGCACATGACCTATGAGGTGGTTTGTTTAGTCTGCAGAAGAGAAGGGTGAGGGGGTATTTGATAAGAGCCTTCAACTTCCTGAAGGGAGGTTCCAAAGAGGATGGAGAAAGGCTGTTCACAGTAGTGATGGATGGCAGAACAAGGAGCAACGGAATCAAGTTACAGTGGGGGAAGTCTAGGTTGGATATCAGGAAAAACTATTTCACTAGGAGGGTGAAGTACTGGAATGGGTTACCTATGAAGGTGATGGAATCTCCATCCCTAGAGGTTTTTAAGACTTGGCTTGACAAAGCCCTGGCTGGGATGATTTAGTTGGCACTGGTCCTCCCTTGGGCAGGGGGCTGGACTTAATGACCTCCTGAGGTCTCTTCCAGTTCTATGATTCTAAGTGTGACACTAGCGGTGTGGAAGATCTTAGACAGGAAAAGACTTGCTGCAATCTTATGTGTATTTCATATCTGTATCTCTCATATACACAAGCAGGACTGGGGTCCTTCTGCACTACACCCTACATAAAACAGATACTGTCTATAATATCCCTGATCCATTGTCTAAGAAATCTACTTTAAACAACTGAAGTTGCACTTGAGATTACTCACCATCAATGTGCAATAACCCTGGATTTTATAATCTATGCCTTTCCCATTTAAATTCAATCCAGTTATTTATATGAGGGTCTAGAAAGCCATTTTAAAGGTTTCAGAGGGGTAGCTCTGTTGAAAGCTCATGGTTCTATATATTTTTGTTAGTCTCTAAGGTGCCACTTATTGATTTTAAAGTTTTGTTTATGGAATTTTGCATCAGTGAAGATGCACTGCAGTTTACCTCAGTTTGAAACAGAGATGTAAAATCCTGTTTAATCCGTTAACTGGGATTTCAACCCCTGTCAGTTAACCATAACAGGTAAAGGTAGTGCTTCAGGGTTAACCATTCATATTCCCAGTTTTAAACTGCTGCAAATATTGGGGCACTGCATCTTTAACAGCAGAGGTTTACATTTGTGTAGCTACATTGCTGCAAAAATCCAAAATGTAGACAAGTCCTAAAACAGCCAAGGATTTCAAGCTTAAATCTTTATTTGCTAGCAATCAGATAAACAGAGTCAATGAACTCGTCAGTCATACAGGTAGAGACTCACTTAGGACACACATTTAAAATTGTTTTCAGTCAACAAATAGCATACAATATAGGAGATCGCAAGGAGACCGATTGTAGTTAACACATCCACCCCAAACAAGTCCCAAGATAACATATCTGATATTAGAAGCTTCGGGGAGTAGCTGACTTAGTCTGTACAGGATAAACTTAAAAAACAACAAATAGTCTGGTAGCACTTTAAAGACTAACAAAAACAACATGTAGATGTTATCATGAGCTTTCGTGGGCATAGCCCACTTCTTCAGATGACTGGAGTAAAACTCTCAAGTTGTCTTTTCAAGGTGCTGAAGATGAGGTTTGAAAGGTTAGGAGTGACTGTTTCACAAAAAGCGTATGCCCACATGCAATAGGAAAATAATACACACAAATGTCCTATGTGTACTCGTTTGAGAACGCACAGATTGCCTGATTTTAGCCATATAGTTGCTATTGACACATTTAGTGCACTGGATGAAATAAATCTATTATTGTCACATATGTATTTAGTACATTCTTTCCCAATGCACTTCTAGATGACAATGTATTCTGCTTAAATTCAACACTCTTCTAGTTCACCAAGTACTAGAGTAGAACGGAAGCTGATTTGTAGTCTCATACAAGACTGACATCAGCTAGTGTCTGTAAAATTTAGCTGTAATTACAGGTTTTTTTCAGATGCATGGTAGTTGCACACTGAAACTGAAATAATTTCACTTAGACACTCCTGTGCTAAGCACACGTGTAGTTTTTGATTGTGTATTAGTGCCTCTAATTCTAGATTAGAAGTTTTACTTTCTGGTTTTCATGAACTATAAATAATGCTTTAACAGAGGTATAAATACGTTACAGGTCATTTTAAAATCTGAAATAAAGTTTAACTTTTGCAAATCCTGTTTTAGTTTTCTTTTAAAGAAAAAGTGGCTCTGAAAATAAATAACTATGAAGGCTCAAGATATATCTAAGGTAATTTTTTTCTTTAAAATAGTATTTATGTTTAAAGCACTATGCTACATTACACAGTTAAACAAGAACACACTGAAATGTGCCCTACGTAAAATGAAAGAAGAAAAAGTATTACCTTCCCTAGACCTGAAGAAAAGCTCATATACTGAGCATGAGAAGCCAGAAAGCTAAGTTAGTCCAATAAAAATAATCTCACACATATTCTCCCTCTAGTATAGGCAAAGATGCATTCAGTTTACTCTAGGAGCTGCTCCAAGAAGCAAACACCAAAGCAAGAGTACTTTTTTTTAAACGAGTAAAATTTAGAATATTCTGCATACTACTTTTGCATGGCACTGATTATACACCAGCAATTCACAGACGGACTCAGTGAATACACCAGCAACAATGTGTAGTGCCACATACAAATAAATACTGATTCAAACTAAAACCCTGTTCTTCCTTTTGGGCACAATGGCTTTGTATCGCCTAAGAGTTATCCCAGGGTAGATACTTCATTTTCCGGTAATGAATCCTTATCTAGATTAGCCTGGATCTGAGAAACAGCGGAGGTGGAGTCAGGGTGTGAGAAACCCCAGTTGTAAACAAAGCCACATGTACTCCAACTCAGGGCAACCTCAGGCAGCAGCGGTAGGGAGGGGACTGGATGAGGGACGGGGCCAAGAGCAAGGAGAAGGGCGGCCCTGAGGGGGACCCCATCGCTCTGCTGGGTCAGCGACAGTGGTGTGGCCGCGAGCAGACCTCAAGGAGCCTCGCCATCAGCCTACCTCCCCTTGGGG